TCCTAGACATACCCAAACACCTTATAGGATTGATTTACTGGGTTTGAAGGCTTAGGACCATAGTCTCATGGCACAACTAGGTCAACTGGTAAGGTTAGTTCATAAAGATAATATTGTATGTCCTAGTTTGATGAGTAGTGTCTGAGGTCTTAGAAGCTTGTGAGTAGCCATCTAATATATAACTAGTGGTTTCTTCCCATGTGGAGCAAAGGAGATTGAAGGAAACCAAAGACTCAAGGAAAAATTAGTCCACAGGACTAATGGCCCACACAAACCACAGCCTATTCTAACCAAAGACCAGAAGAACTAGATAGTACCCAACTATCACCACCAACCATTCTGACCAGAGTCACAATAGAAGGTGCCAGTGAGAATGGGAGGAAAATGTAGGACTGAATTCAAATTGCTATAAAGGACCAGACTTAAAAAACTGAGAGACTATAAGAACCCCAAGACTGTTGCTGTGAAATACCCTTCTCACCTTGAAGTGAAGCCACTCTCAGAAGTCACCTTTCAGCCAAATAATAGATTGGCCTATAAAATAAACAGTAAGACTCATGAGGAATGTGCTGCTTTAAATAATCAACTTACAAGACCAGGGGGCCAACATTTACAGAAAAGGAAAGCAGAAGGTGAGGAGGGCCCAGGAAATCGAGTGGATATAAATGGTGCAGGCGGGAGTGAGATGGTGAGAGTGCTGACACATTACAGGGATTTTAACCGGTGTCACTGAACAATTTGTGCATGAATTGTTGAATGATGAAATATCTAAACAATGAAAAGGAATGAACTGTTGATTCATCAACAGCACAGGTGAATCTCAGAAACATTTTATTAAGCAAAGAAGCCAGACACAGGCTACCATTATTGAACATTTTGATCAAAGATTCTATAGAGAAGTGGGAAAACAATGTGGAACAGAATTTCAAATTTTCTTGATATCCAGGTTTTCCAAAAGCAATTGAATCGGGATTACACATGCTTCCCTGGAAAAAAAACTACTTTCCTGAAGTAATCTTTAAACCTTAAACCAAAACTATCCCCTGAAGTCATCTTGAAAGAAAAAATAATAATTTAACTTAATTAGTAAAAGAAAAAAAAAAATGGGCTCCTTTCAAGAATAATCTCCATGTGATCAAATTAACAATGGCAACTGGAAAGGTTAAATAAGAAGCTTAGGGAGCAGTGAGTTTAGGTTAACAGTGATGGAGTAATTTAGAAAAGGACAGTGAGAATGGTTATACATCTTGAAGAATGTAATTAGTGTCACTGAACTGTACATGTAGAAATTCTTGAATTGGTGTATGTTTTGCTGTGTATATTTCCACTGGAAAAGAAAATTAAAATTAAGAGAGAAAAAAAGCTAGACACAAAAGAGAGCATACTTTTTCATTTCATTTACATGCAGTTTGAAAAAAGGAAAAACTGATTTATGGTGATACAATTCAGAACTGTGGTGGCCTCAGAGATGGGGATGGAGAATGATTGAAAAAGGCCCAGGGAAACTCATGCGTGAGGGAAATGTTCTCTATCTTGATTTATGGTGGTGGTTACACAACATATACATTTGTAAAATGATACGAATTTTATTGTATTGTACACTTAATATTAATGCATCTTACTGAATTTAAATTATGCCTTATTAAAAATATTTAGTGAGTATATTATTGTGCCTTATGCAAGTGTTCACAGCTGAACATTGACATGTTCAATAACTATTTGCTTTTTTTAAAATTCCATTTCCTAAAATTAATTGCCTTGTTTTGTTTTAATTGCTTAATTTTCTTTATATCTATTACTAATTACTCTCATAACTTTTTTTCCGAAAAATTACACCAGATGATCTTAGCAGTTTGTAATTTCTTCCTTGAGATATCCTTTTGAAGTCCTCCATTCTCCTCTGTCTGGCTGGTTCATTTCTAAGGCCTGCTTCTATGGCACTTGGAATTCCTTTTGACTTTCTCCTTTTTGTACTTCGGTTTCTAATCTCCTATCTTCTTGAGTGCACACCTTGTTTTAATGGAACACGTTTTCCAGGAGTTTCATCAGGTTAAGAAGTTGAGAATTTCTTGAGTAGCAGAGAACATGGAAGTGATTATTGTTGTTGTTAGTTGCCATTGAGTCAGCCCCCAACTCACGAGGACTCCATGCTGCCAGGTGCCATGCCATCCCCATGATTAGTTACAGATCAGACCATTGTTATCCATAAGATTTTCAGTGACTGATTTTTAGAAGTAGGTAGCCATGCTTTTCTGCTTAGTCCATTTTAGTCTGGAAGCACTACTGAAACCAGTTCAGCATCATAGTTCAGTGGTAAAATTCTTACCTTCCATGTGAGAGACTGAAGTTCTATTTCCAGACAATGCATGTCATGAATAGCCACAACCTAATTGTCAGTGGAAGCTGCGTGCTGCCCTGGTGCTGAACAGGTTCCAGGGAATATTCCAGACTACTACATATTAGGGCGGAAGGCCTAAATGATCTACTTCTGAAAGATCAATCTGTGAAAATCCTATAGATCACGGTGGTCTGAACCAACTGAGCATGGGGATAGTAGTGATAACCTTCAACCATGCTAACCCTGAATCCAGTGCTTTAATGTGGAATGGTTGACTCCTAGTCTGATTCACAGTTAACATCTTGGAATAGCTTTACATCCCTCTGGGCAATTTCTTTAGCTTTCTCCTATGTTCTGTTTCCTGTATTTCATTGTTTGTAGTTTACGCTCTTGTTTTTGTAGAATCCATTCTTTAGAGTACATGGCAAGTGATTTTTTTATTGTTCTTTTCAAATCTAAACATATTTTTATTCTACCATTATACTTGATTGTTGGGCTTATTGATAATTGGACTGAATATTGAATTCCAGGTTGGAATTTTTTTTTCCGTAAAACTTTTGGTAATATTGCACAACTGTCTTTGTGCTTCTCGTATTACCTTTGAGAAGTCAGAAGCCATTGTGATTCAAGATTCACTGTGATGTGGTTTTTTTGTGTGTTTGTTTTCTCCTCCCTTAAAGTTTATAGGATCATCTGTGCCCTTAGAGTTCTGAAATTTCATGAAGGTATGCCTGCCATAGTGAAAGTATTTTCACCCATTGTGCTGAGTACCTGGTAGACCCTTATAGTTTGGTAATTGATGTCCTTCAGTTCCAGAGAATATTCTTGAATTACTCCAACCATTTTCCTTCTCTGTTTTCTCTTCTCTTTCTTTCTAGAATTCTTAGACTAATCCTTTATCTTTCTGCTTTTCATGTTGACTTTTTGCTGTTCTTTTGGAAGTTTTCCTCAGCTTTAATTTTTTAGCCTTTTGTTGCTTTTTTCATTTCTACTTTGATGTGTTTTGATTTTCAATAGCTTTTTTGTTCTTTATAATGTCCTGTTCATGTTTCATGAATGTCTTACTTATATCCTCCCTGTAAGAAGAATAATGATGAATTTTAAAGTTTTCTTCTTGAATTGTCTTTCCTTCATGTTGCTTTTAGCAGTTTGAGTATCTTCCATGTTCAGGATATCACTCCTCTTGGATATCTGTTAATCCTTGGTTGTCTTGTGTTTTAGGGTGGGGAACTTGAAAGCTAAACTTGAAAGTATGGAATTTCTGAGTCTAAGAAGGTCTTTGCCGACGCTGAGCTTCACTGTAGGGTGGTCTGCATGGGATTGATTACTTGGGAATGCCTGGTGTCTGTACTTTTAGGTCTTCTCTTTGAGCTAGTTGGATTCCCTAGAGAGCAGTCTTCCAGTTGTGCCGAGAAAGGTCTGTTGCCACAATATATGGATCTGAGGTGGGATTGGGGCCCAGCAGTCATTATGGTTATACTCACCATGTCAGTATTCTCAGCTGTACCTGTCAACTTCTAGGCAAAAAAATCCTGTTTTACACTTTATAGAGCAAAACTTGTGGTCTTCAGCCAGTGTGCAGGAGGAGTCAATGCTGAGAGTGACTTCTCAGGTAGTTCTTACTCACTCCTCCCTATTTTAGCCTTTCTTTTACTCCACAGTTCCAGAGCTATCTAGAACTCACTTCCTTAAGCCATTTAATGATTATGAGATGCAAAGTGACTCAGTTCTCAGCTTTTTTCCCATGAACACCTGACTACTATCCTGAAGGTTGGCAATTCAAACCCACTCAAAGGCGCCTGGAAAGCCAAGTCACAGCCTTAAAAACATTGTATGTGTGGGGTCTCTGTGAGTCAGAATCAACTCCACAGTAGCTAACGAGCATGTATAGGATTTGGTTTTCTTGGTTCTGCTATTACAACTCAGTGATATGTTTTCCAGCTTCCAGTTGATGTTGTTGTAGTCTCTTTTCCTGTTTATCTCAAAATTGTGGGTTTCTTTGTTTTTAATTGGCTTCTTGTAATTCTGTTGAGGTTTATAAGGGACAGGAATTGGATAGATATGTTCAGTCTTCCATCTTGGCACGGAAGTTCAATTAACGATGATGTAGGGAAAATTTCAGAAGGGAAACTTGTATGAAAATGTTAGTATTGACATTTTCTACACTAAAACTTCATGGCTAGGGTTTATTTCCAAGAGGCCTAAGATCTTTCCAATGTTTTGTAATCATATTCTCCTTTTCTTTCATAGCTGGGGCAGGAAGAAAGATATGAATTGCTGAATGTCCTGGAATTCACCAGGTAAACATCTACTTGGTGATTTGTATGCATAACTTAAATTTCGATATATTTTTCCCATTTAAATAACTAGAAACTATACATTGTTTTAATTTCATCAAATTTATTTAAACAAAATGTTAAATTAAAATCTTCACTATATTTTTTAATTGGTATATCTGTATTCTTCAGAGTATTGCATTACTGAAGGAGGCAGTTTAAAAATTTTTTTTTTCACTATAACTGTCTGCATCACAGCTTTAGGCTATAGGACCAGAAGTCTTATGGCTAGATACCTGGAAATACTGTTATACTTCAAACCAAACCAAACTCAGTGCCACTGAGTAGATTCCAACTCATAATCACCCTATAGGACAGAGTAGAATTACCTTATAAGGTTTCCAAGGCTATAAATATTTGTGGAAACATTTGTGAATATTTCTTCTGCAGAGCAGCTGATGAATTGAGCCACTGAACTTTTAGTTAGCAGCCGAATACTTTAACTGCTGCACCACCAGAGATCCTTCTGATATACCTAATTAGAGACACCAAGTGAAGATGAATCAGAGTCATAAATCCACAGTTCTAATTATGTGCTTATTATTTCTAATGGTATTTGGGATTTTGGATACCATATCCATGTCTCTCTTAGGTATAAGAGCTGCCCTGATGGTTAAACACTTGACTGTTAACCAAAAGATTGGTGGTTAAAACCTACCCAGAGGGCCCATGGGGAAAAACTGGCAATCTGCTCCCATAAAGACTACAGCTTCGAAAACGAAAACCCTGTAGGGCAGTTCTTTTCTGTCACATGGGGTCACTATGAAGCTAAATCCGCTCACTCAGTTGATTTAACAACAACATCAGGTATAAGACCTGTTGCCATCTAGTAGGAAAAAACAGAAAACAAAATGATGATTCTACTGACTTTATTTCTTAAGGTCAAATCAGAGTCCTTTAGTTATAATCAGTGATATCTCTGAGTTTTTGGCTTTTTATTCCTGCATTATTGTGTAGTTTCTCAGGTTACCTATGATCTTGGACAGGTTAGCTTTGGCTATAAGCAAAAGAGTCTTTAAAGAACACATCACCACTTATAGCACACTTAAAAATACCAAGGCCATAACCAGGAAGTAATGCTTTTGCTCAGTTAAGTAAGTATCCACCCTTTCTCTTGACCTTTCTTAAGACAAATATGTATACTGGCTAGGAGAGGTATTTCCTTTTCTGTGCTAACTTTGGATGCTGTCCTGATTGGGAGTGATCACATGCCAGTGGCTAACAAAAAAAGTCATGAGGTCTGTCCAACTTAGAATTTACACACTACTTTCTTTGCTTATATGCCTTGAAAGGCCCAAGGGAAGATTAATAATAGGGAGTATAGATAGAGGTTAGCAGTCAAGTGCCTTAGGCATTACGCTGCCAGAGCTCCAGGTTGGGCAATCTACTTCCGTAGTGATACTGCCTCGGAAACCCAAGGAGGGGTCGCTATGAGTCGGGTCCAACTCGACGGCACATAACAACAAGAACATGGATGGAGGAAGAAGGAACTTAAATATTTCTAGATCCCTGTGCAAGAAACTCCTGGCTGTAGGCTACACTAGCATATCTGACTGCTGCTGTGTGGGGGGCTCATCTCAGTTCCTTAGCAGCAGGAAGTTTTAAGTTAAAACATAAACACAGATGTTTGAAAAGTCCCTTTATTCCCACAGTTCTGGGGAGAATGCTTATACACATTTGGTTCTGAATGATGCCCTGTGTGTTCTAGTTCTAAGGTGCTCTGGTGGCACAGTGGTTAAACCATTTGACTGCTAACCAGAAGGTTGGCAGTTCGAACCCACTAACCACCCCATGGGAGAACAATGAGGCAGTCTTCTTCTGTAAAGATTTACAGTCTTGGAAACCCTGGGGGGGGGGCAGTTCTACTCTGTCCCATATGGTTGCTGTGAGTTGGAATTGACTTGATGGCAGTGGGTTTGGTTTTTGGTTTGGGTTCCATTTCTTGTCAGTGTTATTTGCTGCTGCTTTGCTAGTACATTGAAAGATGTTACATATTTAAACAGGTTCTATTACTAGTGTTAAAATCTTTGTGCTTATTAGCTTAACTTTGCTGGTATAAATTAAATTTTTGTGATGCTGATGGTTTGCTGGGAGCTCTGGTAGCGTAGTGCTTAGGTGTTTGCTAAGCAGCAGGCTGTCGGTTCAAACCCACCAGCCATGCCTCAGAAAGAAGACTGGGTAATCTACTTCCATAGTGATACTGCCTTGGAAACCCAAGGAGGGGTCGCTATCAGTCAGTGATGATTCGATGGCAGTGAGTTTGGTTTTTTTGGTTTAATAGTTTGCTAGTAATTTCTGAAAAACAATAGTTGCACATGCTTAAGTTCTTTTTAAAAAATTAGTTTTGCCTTTATGTGTGATTAGATTTGTACTTAAAGTTGATTATAATTTTTGTTTTTAATAAAAGCAGTGAATTCAATTTATCTCTGAAGAAACCAGCTTATGTATTTTGCAAACCTGAACATTGATAGAACTCTCCTCTACCCTGATGGATAATTAATCCTTGCAGGTTTTTAGGGAGCCATTCTGTAAATTACTCCTCCAGGGTAGTAGATGGTACCCTCCTGCCTTAAAAAATATAATGTAACTTTCAAAGGTACCCAACTGTATACCCGGGAGATAGTTTGTTTATGTGGAGGGATAGTTTGTTTATGTGGAGGGATAATTTGGTCAGATTTATTTTTTCATTGTGAGTATTAAAATATGTGAGATATGACAAGCATACATGTGCACTTTCTCAGTATGATGACACATTATGGAAAACTGCTTTCTTTCAGCGCTAGAAAAAGAATGTCAGTGATTGTTCGCACTCCATCCGGGAAGTTACGACTTTACTGCAAAGGAGCTGTAAGTTTTTATTTTTGCCTTTTACAGTTTTGATTTATGATGGCTTATAATATGTTTGTTAGGTATTCTGCTATGGAAATGTAACACAGATGTTTAGCAAGAACTTGCTGACACCCGCTTTTGTTGGTGTTTTATAGTAATAGGGCTCAGCCTCTACTGGTGAAATGGTGAATTCCTTCTGGGTAAATTGGGTGCTTTGAAAAAGTTTAGCCTAGGTAAATTTCATAATTCAGTTATTGATACATAATATTCAAAGTTAATATTATATATATAATATTAGAGAAATTTTAAATACAGTAAATTTTAAAAATTAAATTAGAGAGTGGTGATCCACACCACTTTGAAACCAATTTTTTAAAGACCATTAAAAAGAGGGGGAAAAGTGGGATCAAATTACTGTTCTAATTTCTTCATGTAGTGATTATTATTTGTCTTGCAGTGTTTTCATTATAACTGAATTTTTTATTGTTGGTTGGCTTTGGGATATTGGCAGACTATGTTGACAGAAATAAAGAGTCCCTAAGTAGAATATATGGGTGACTACTAGCCAGACAGTTGGCATTTCAGACCCAGCCAGCGGCACCTTGAAAGACAGGCCTGGTGATCTCCTTCCTTTCACAACCTTGAAAGCCATCTGGAGCCACTGTGCTTTGCACACAGGGTCACCATGAGTTGAAATCAACCATTGGCAACTAACAGTACCAACACTGGCAGAAATAGTACCATGACATTCTAAATGAATTTTCCTATTTAAAATATGTTTACACTCATGGGAAAATGAGACATTTATTGACCAGGCCCTTCTATTGTTACTAAGATAGGTCAGTACTTTTCCTTTTTGAATTATCTTTTGTAGATACCTGCTTTATGAACTTTCTGATTTTAAATATAGTCATTACCCTTGCTTTATCAAATATAAACTTGGAAATTCATTTAAAAAAAAAAAAAAAAAAAAGACCAAAGCAGTTATTTAAATTCCTGCTGAGGATGCTTTTGAATCCCTTGCTTTAAAAGTATTGAAATGCAGTTTTTGACCGACTTGGTTTTAAAGCATTTTGGCAGAATTATTTCAGGTTGTATGATGAATTTAGTTTTAGAATTTCTTTGGTTTTATCTTCTCATTGATTCAAATGTCTAAAATTTATTGTGTACATTTTATCTACCAGACTTTAAACTGAGTTCTGGAGATCAGAAGATAAGTAAAACCCTTGTCATGAGCTTAAGTCTAGTCAGGGAAATATATGTAATGAGAACATGCAGATGCAATATCAAGATACAAATATCATCTGACAATGAGAATACATTTTCTAAAACATTGTCATAAAAAGGAATTTATTTTTGTAAACTGTAACATTTAACAATAGGAGAATAAAAAGAACATTTAAGACCTCCCACTTTAAATGGCTGTTATGTATCCAATTTACTACACTCAACTGACATTTTTCCTCTTAAAGTTTTGAGTAGTATTCTACCTGGAAATTTTGAGTAGTTTGAGGCATTGAACAAAGAATTAAAACGCTGAACCTCCTTTTTTGTGTAATCACAGAAATGGTTCTCATGTATTAACTTGCTTTTTGCATTGATTACATACACATACACACACACATTGCCTATGAAATGTGGTTAACTAGTAAAAGGTCATACATATGTAAAGCAGCATAGAATGTGTGAGAACTACTGGGACTTTGGCAGGGAATGGCAGAGACTTGGAGACATGACTTGGATCATGCTTTTTTTTTTTTTTCTTACCCCCCCCCATGCTAAAGAACTTGTACTTTCCTAATTATTCTAATGCCATTTAGGAAGATGATTGTTGTTGTTGTTAAGTGCCGTCGAGTCGTTTCTGACTCATAGCGACCCCATGCACAGCAGAACGAAACACTGCCCGATCCTGCGCCAGCCCCACAATCCCTGCTATACTTGAGCCCATCATCACAGCCACCGTATGAGTAAGGGTGGGTTTACTCAGATGTTGCAGCTCTTTCCCAGTCCTATTTTGAGAGCCTTTTAGCCTAAACGGACTATTCCTAAAGTTGCGCGGTAATGTACCAAACAGTGTTTCTTTGCTATTCATAAGGTTTTCCCTGGCCAATTCTTTCAGAAGTGGACGGCCTCTTCCTTCTTCCTAGTTAGGGACTGCAAAGAGAAGCATACAGAGCTACCGATTGAAGCTACCGGCTATCGTCCAGACAAGAATCAATAAGGATCCGCACCCAAGCGGTTACAAAGAAGACTAATAGGAGAGAGATTTAGCATTTAGTAATTCACAATATTCAATTCTGTGGATCATAACAAATTATGAATAACATTGAGAAGAATGGGAATTCCAGAACACTTAATTGTGCTCATGAGGAACCTGTACACAGACCAGGAGGCTGTCATTCAAACAGAAAAAGAGGACACTGCATGGTTTAAAATCAGGAAGAGAATGTGTCAGAGTAGTATCTTTTCACCATATTTATTCAGTCTGTACACTGAGCAAATAATCTGAGAAGCTGGACTCTGTGAAGAAGAATGTGGCATCAGGATTGGAGGAAGACTCAATAATCTACAATATGCATACAACACAACCTTGCTTGCTGAAAGTGAGGATGATTTGAAGCTTTTACTGATGAAGATTAAAGACTACAGTCTGCAATATGGATCACACATCAACATAAAGAAAGCAAAAATCCCCACAAGTGGAACAATAAGCAACATCATGATAAATGGAGAAAAGATTGAAGTTGCCAAAGATTTCATACTTGTTTCCACAATCAACACTAATGGAAACAGCAGTCAAGACATCAGATGACATACTGCACTGGGAAGATCTGATGCAAAAGACCTCTTTAAAGTGATGAAGAGCAAAGATATCTCTTTGAAGGCTAAGATGTGCCTAACCCAAGCCATGGTATATTCAGTCACCTCATATGCATGTGAAATCTGGACAGTGAATAAGGAAGACTGAAGAAGACTTGATGCTTTTGAGTTGTGATGTTGATGAGGAATGCTGAAAGTACCATGGACCTCCAGAAGAACAATCAAATGTACCTGAAAGAAGTACAGCCAGAATGTTCCTTTGAAGCAGGAATGGTGAGACTTCATCTCACCTACTTTGGTCCTTTTATCAGAAGGGAATCTTCCCTGGAGAAGAATATCCTGCTTGGTGAAGTGGAGGGTCAGCAAAAATGGAGAAGGCCCTCAATGAGATGGATTGTCAGGGTGGCTGCAACAATGGGCTCACGTATAGCAAGGATTGTGAGGCTGGCACAAGATTGGGCAATGTTTCGTTCTGTGGTATGTAGGGTCGCTATGAGTTAGAGCTGACTCGATGGCACCTAACAACAACAACAATTCACAGTAGTTAGGTGCTCATTCCTAACTGAAAGGTTGGCAATTTGAATCAGCTTTGTGGGGGAAGACACCTGGCGATTGCTCCCATGAAGTTTACCCCTAGAAAACCCTTGGGGGAAGTTTTGCTGTGTCATATTGGGTCACTGTAAGTCGAAGATCATCTCGATGGCAACTAACAAAAACAAATTGATTACATATGACTGATGAGAGAAAAGATTATCAAGGATCATTATCAGATTCCTACTTGGCTGACTGAGTGATGGTGCTGTCACTTCCCAAGACAGAGAGTTGGTAGCTACTTCTGAGCCATCAAGGCAGAGAGATCTGGATTTCATGGCAGAAGGAATTTGGGGTACAAATACACATTTGGGACTTAACATGTATAGCCGAAAACTAAAAGCAGGGCATTGAATAGTATCTTGCATAAAGAAAATATTACAAGAAATGGGAATTGGCCTTAAATTGGAAAGTAAAAGATCCAGAAATGAAGATTGAAATTAGTAGGAGAATCTGGGGAGCCTGTTCATTCCTTGAGGAGGTAAATAATCAATAGTGACAGTGCAACAGAAAAGTTAAAAAATGACAGTTAACAAGTAAACAGCAATAATTTCTAGTCAAGCTCACATATGTTCATGATTTTTATCTCCTCTTCTTCCAATACCATGATAATAATGGGTATAGGAGAAAGAGAAAATAGATAAAACCAGGCTCAAACACTGGATTAAGGTTTTCATTTTGTAGACTAAAACAGTAATAGAAAATTAAAGAAGCACATTGAACTGAAGTCTTGTGCTGGGTGAAGTGGAAGTTCCCAGCTCTGAGTTCACAATCAGGAGCATGGCTTGGAATTTGGCTTCTCTGGGGGCAGTGGGAACAAATATTACTTTATGTAAAATACAGACAGGAGCCAGCCTCCATGCTTTGAAGTTTAAGACAGTGATGGAGTTTCCCCACTGGCTTAGTGATTGGATTAGCAATACCCTTAGTGTTCCTCTTACAACCATTGAAGACCAGGTTCTGCACAGGAGGCAGAGGAGAAGCAACTGTAAAACATTAGATTGGCCTGTGTGCAAAGAAGAGAGACCAAGAGCAAAACTTGGAGACATACAAGGAAATACCAAGAAACATAATAAGATAAATAGTAATATAACCAACTGGAACATGAATTAATCCCGGTTTAAATCCATCGTTTAGACTAGTTGAATAAGAAGGTGTTTACAGCACAGCATGATAAGGAAATTACAACTATTATGAAACAATAAGAAGGTAGCAAACAAAAATGGGGATATGTGTGAGATAAATTAAAACCATTAATATATTGAGGGAAAAAAATCAGTGAATGGAATAATCTCTAGATTAGACACAGTTGAAGGGCTATGAGGTATTAGTGACTTGGAAGATAAACCAAAACCAAACTCACTGCCATTGAGTCAATTACAACTCATAGTGACCCTTTTCGGGTTTCCAAGGCGGTAAATCTTTACAGAAGTAGATTCCCCAGTCTTCCTTCTGCAGAGTGGCTGGTGAGTTTGAACTGCGCACCTTCTGGTTAGCAATCAGATGTCTTAGGCACTGCACCACCAGAGCTCCAATTGGAAGATTGTACTGAAGAGTTCATCTTAAATATAGTGACTGTGCTAAATTGCACATGTGAAGAATGTTAC